GTTCATCACCAGTACAGCCGAGCTGTTGCAGCTGTATGTCAGCGGCCCAGAGTTTAGCTGACTCATCCTGGCCATCACGAGAGCGGCGATACTGCTGCTTGCTGGGGAGAGCGGTCCTAATGGTTCTGCAGTATTGCCTTTGTGGTTAATGTAGACTGAAAGGATTGTAGGACTAGGGAGAGAAAAATGGAGACCTTCTGAAGAGCTTGAGTAGGAGTTTGAAGGGTATTGAAAAGAGAAAGAGGAGATACGGGTGGTGAGGCTAGGCCATGTGACTTATGGGAAATTTATGGGAAAGAAAACAGCAGAAAGGGGTTGATCAGGTAGTTTCCAGAGCTGGCCAGCAGATTGCACTGTTGACTCTGAACAGTTTGGTTGCTTTGCAGAGCTGCCTTGAGATGAATAGATGAAAAGGAAGGCACTGTGCAGTAGGATGTATATGTGTTGGATGTTTGTTACCTAAGAAAACGACCAGACAAGACAAAATATAGGGTGAGATGTTTAAAATGAGCTCAACATTAATTATTTATTTATGGGTAGGTAAATGTGTAAATTCTAAATTCTGGTCTAAACTAAGAGAATTCTGGAGCCATAGGGTGGCTTGGTCATGTCTGGAAACTTAAAGCCCTAAGGTTTATGTTAAAAACTGCTCTTACTAAAGCTAAATGTTTCTCTTACCCTGTCATTAAAGATACAATAAAAATGCATTTTATATTGAATTTTAACTTAGAGGCTTTTGCAGATTTTCGGTGAATTTGCATTTTAGAAAATGTTATGTAGCTTCTTGTCAAAAATAAATGATCCATACTTTATGGATGGGTCATACTTGACCCATACTTTATTTCTTAAATTTTTTTTTCCTAGCACTTGGCCTGATTTTATCACTGTTAATGACTTTTAGTTTTAAGTAGGATGAAACTTCAGTTTTTACATAGAACTGTAATTATCTTATTCCTCATGGATATCAAAATAGTCAAACATCTCGTGCAGTTCAGTCTGAAAACTTTCAGTTCTTTGAACAGCTATTTATTATTTATATTTACTATATTCTTAACCACTTAAAGTTAATTTCTACAAGAGCAGTACTTTTAGAGCAATAACAGGAGATAAGTGAGACAAGGCCTTGATTGGAGTGAAATTTCTACAGTATTTTGTTCAGTTAGTTCAACCTGGTTATGCCATATATAGATACATAGTAAAAGAGTAAGATATTATAATTGGGCAGTATTACCCAAAGTGTGTTTACTAATAAGTGTTATGAAAAAAATTGGTTCCATGGAACTAATTTTGGAAATGCTGGGTTAAACATTATTTGAAAACAGATTTCTTTCCTGTAGAACCTTGTAGAGCCTTTGATTAATAGAGCCATGAAACTCCAATAAGGAAGCAATAGTGTATAACTTTCCTAAGCAAGGCTTGTCTGGCAGAACCACCCTACAGACTGACAGCTCACAGAACACACAGTGGGAAATCTTGAAAAGGAAAATGAGTGCTTTCAGTTCTATTTTAGGTTTTTTTGAAGAGTTGCTATATGGCATAAATTAATATACTTATAGCACCACCTTTATGTTTGGTTTTTGCCGTTTCCTTAAAAAGATTTGCCTTTGGAGATAAGCACTTCTGCAATAAGATTATTAATTCCTATAATAATTCAGATTATTAATTCTTAAGAATTAAGAAACAGATAATTCAGCCAAAGAGTAGTTTCACAATCCTCACCAGAGCTTCTGTAAGAATACACACTTAAAACAGAAACTAAGACCGACCATTTTAGTGTTTTCTCCCATTTTGGGAGCTGAGTTAAGTAAACCTTTCTAGTCAGAGATCACAGTCTGGGGCCCACAGGATAGATCTGGCCTTCAGTTAGTTTTGTTTAGCCTGTCCAGTGATTTTAACATTTCAATTCGTTCTCAACATTTTAAAATCTTGAAGTTTCACATAAAAATCCGAATTTCCAGCTATTCTTGAAAAATGGAAAAGTCTGACAACACATTCACAAATGATAACTGCTTGCTGGAGCTGTAAGTGTCTGCTTCCTTTAAAAGGCATGGTTTGCTCTAGTGTGTCATTGCCTGCTTACTAACTGCTGTCCTGGTGACTGACAAATTCATGCTACATGTCCATCCCTACAAACCTTTGGTTTTTTGTAACTCCTGCTATAAGGACATGGCATGGATGAAGGGCTGGTGGATGGTGCCTCTTTCTAGAGTGATCTTTATATGCAAATGTCTTCAGGAAAGAGTGTTGAAATCAATGTCAGGCTCATTTAAGGGAATTTTCACCATGTCTGATGAAGTCCCTGTCTTGTCCTCAGTACAGTTGAGGCTCTTACTGCCCAGAGTATAGCCTGTTTGACAACATACTAAAAGAGTTTTTTCTCTCTCTCTCTCTCTCTCTCTCTCTCTCTCTCTCTCACACACACACACACAGAGTGATCCCTGTATATGTAATGGTTGCTATGCTGGGGGAAATTTATGTTGAATTAGAACAGAGTTGTAATTTCATCCATTCTCAAAAACAGTTATTAAAGAAACAAAGATAATCAAAACACAGTTCTTTGATTTGTATTCCACGGCTTTCTACAAAATATTTGAGCCACCTTAAAAAGTATGGTATTCAAAAAGTAGAGAAATATCTATATATAAAAATCAGGACCAGAAAATGTATTCGAAGAGTAAGTCAGAAAGATAAAATATGAATATCAGGCCCTGAGGGCTGAGAATCAACTTAGAAGATGGAGAACATGCCTTGTGTGAGAATGGGCTTATATTTCAGAGAGAATCCAGGGTGAATGGAACTTCCCAGTGGAAAACAGTACTGCAGTATTACTTTTTGCTTAGTGTAGAATGTGCTGATGTTGGCCTGTGTTGACATTTATCTGACTCTCTAGGGGTGGGAGCTCTAGAGGAGCTATTTTCTATTGGCAGCTGGGAAACGCAGGTTTTGTGAATAGGGTTTAATCATTACTGTCTCTTGGGTCTCCTTCCTGTGTTTTTACCTAATCTATAATACAAGAATTGGCTAAGGGAATGGGTTGTGTGTGATGTAATGAGGTGAGGATGCAGCAAGAGAAGAAGCAGTAATGAAAGCTCTCAGCAGGAAGGTTTGAGATCTTCTGCAGAGTTCTTTTGAGCAGCAGTAACGTACAGCTGTTAGAGAAGGCTGCATCTTCTGTGCTTCTGATTAAATGAAACCAGAACCCCACGGATACTACAAGAGAATTGTTTTCACTTGTGTAACAAAGTGACCCGCAATTAAATTCAATTATAGTAAAGTGATAGGAGTTGCCTTACTAGGTCCTGAAGCTGCCTTAAATTTATCAGGCATGAGGCTGGAAGGAGAGGACTCTGTGTAGAAAAAGATATGTCCTACTTTTTTGTTATTGGTGACATTAGGATCTTTGTTCTTACAATGTGAAGAAATCATGTTTTTAATTAAAAATTAATAATGGTCCCTCACGAAGGGATTTAAAAGTAGTGCTTCATGGTATTTGTGAATCTGCCTTTGTGGCAAATGTCAAGGGAACAGTAATTTAGTCAAACAGACCAGCAAATGTTATGAGTAAAGAACTAGATTTTTTTCACATGATAAAGGTGGAGTAAATGCTTAAATGTTAACAGAATTGCAAACAGGTCCCTGTTTTCAGAGTCTAGGGAAGAAATGGAGATTTTACTGCTTCTGGCTAACTGGTGAAGGCAACAGGGTCATAAAAGGCAAAAAGGTAGGTGGGGGTGAATTTTGTAGCAGTCATAAGGAATGTGTGGACTGTTTCTAACTGAGCAGTGCCAGTTTTGGAGTTGATTCAAGGTGTTTTGAAAGTGTAATTGACAGGTTTACTACCTTTCAAATGAGAGTACTTCTAGATAGAAGTCAAGCCACATAAGAAATCATCTTATGTGGTTTTTGCATCAAGTGTTGACAGTTGAGCAATGGGAAAAATGAAGAATTGTGTTGATACTAAGGAAATGAAAATTCAGCTGTTTTGTTTCCTATCCTACTCCACGAGGGGAAAGGAGAGGCGTGTTCCTTAAAGACAGACTCTGTTCTCTGCTTCTACAGACCTCGCCCATTTCCCAGAGCACCTGGCTGGCTGTGTGGCTCCTCGATTCTCAGGCAGTGCTGATGCTTATTACCTTTTGATATGGGAGGGTGTTTTGGGTGTGTTTTTGTTTTAAGATCTTCTTTGGTGATTGAGTTAGGGATTGAGACGAATATGTTTTACGGTTAAGATTCTGTTAAAATATTTTTTGTAGGCAGGAAGTCATAGTACCAGTGAAGAGATACTACCAAATAGAAGTATGTTCGTAAAGATTTCTTTTTCTACTTTTTGAGAAGTTACTTCAGTTTCTAGGCTCACCTTCATTTACCCAAACTTGTTTAAGAAAATCAGATAAATCACAAATAGGTAACACTGTGTGCTTCAGTATTTGATATTGCTGGTAATTCCATGCTAACTTGATGAGTGTCCATCGTGGTTAAACCACATTTCTGAAAGATAAATGTTTCAATTGTAGGGGTTGATTTAAGAATTTAAAAGCCTGACATATAGATAATTTTTAGAAAATATTCCTAATGTTACTGTTCCCTTTCTTTAGGTGAGCTCTTAAAAAGCTAAGTGCTAAACTGTGGCAGGTTATAAACAGTCTATCATGTGTTAAAATGGATCTGATTTAAAAAAAAAAAATTAAAAAAAAAATAAATAAATAAAATGGATCTGATTTAGAACGCAGAGTCTCTCTCTAAAAGACTGCCTTTTCTCAAAACCGCAGGTGGTTTCTGAAGGTTTATGTCTAGAGTGTTGAGTATAGTACCTGTAAGTAGATTCCCCAAGAGTTCTCTTGAAAGGCACTCAATGCAGATTACATAAATTAATAACTGGATTTTGTTTGGGTTATGTATGTTGTAAAATGCACAAATCAGTGGGTTTGTCTTTAGTCACCTTATTCTCATTTGGGGTTGATGGAAATGAAGTAAGGACCAAGTAAACGACTTTTTTTCAGGTGCAAATTCGACCATGGAACCTAAGTGACAGTGACTTTGTAATGGATGGTTCTCAGCCTTTGGACCCCAGAAAAACTATCTTTGTTGGGGGAGTTCCACGACCCCTTCGAGCTGGTGAGTGGAAATAGTAACACCACAACAACAAAAACCACCAACAACAAAACCCCAATATGTATGTAGTCTTCAATATTTTCTAGGTTTCCGATCGACTCTACACAGTCTCCAAAAGAAGTTTCACTGAGCTCTTTCAGGATAAAACATTTTCTCCCCAAATGTTTTATTTTCTTACAGTACAAGAGTGAATTTCATTAAACTGTTATTTTGACAGGATGAAGTCTATTCAGTGCTGTCACATTCAACCACAGATTTTTAAAATAATAACAATACATTTGTCAGTGTGCGTTCTTATGCGAGTCAGCATTGTTATGTGTGACAGAAAAAGCAGTGACCCCATCAGAAATCTGTCCAGCGCAGCTGTGTACCCCTCAGTGACAAGCCAAACCACTGCTCTGCTAGAAAGTGTGTCACACGGAATCAAACTGGGAATCTTCCTAAGTGAAACAGGTTCCTGTTTTTTCTTATGCACTTTGAAAAATGGCTTATGTATTTGAGCGTTTTTATCATGACTTTTTAAAAGCTTCCCTGTTTTTTTTTCTTTTTTAAGTTCTTTTCTAATGATGAAATAATTGAGCCTGCTGAGATCAGGCAGAATCATGATTGATTGAGCCATTTGAAGTGATGCTGAACTGATGACTTCAGTATTTAAATCCAAAAAGAGATCTAATCAGTTAGGGATCAGTGTTCTACCAGTAGACTATGATAAAATTATTTGTAAGAATGGAGTTTTTAAAGTGCTTAAAATAACTTTTCAAAAAAAAAGATGACAAAATAATGTTACCGTTGGCTACAGCAGTTGCAGAAGTGCAGTGTGATTTCTGTTATTTGGAAGCAAGCAGACTTAGCTCTACCTAAAAAAAAAAGAAAAGAAAAAGAAAGTAAAGAAAAAGCATAAAATATTAAAATCAAGTTGTGAAAAAAGAATTATAAAATGTATCTACAGCCATTTGTCTCTGACTTTGATGACTTCTTAATTGTAAATGTCAACATTTCTAATGCATTTATTCGAATCTCAACTTCAGTCTACTCCTCTAAGATATCTGTAGACCTCTATAAAGACACACCCATAATTCCATTTTGAAAGACTTTAAAACACATTAATTATGACTGTGAGGGTTGTAACTTTACAGTTTTTCAGAAAGCCAAATATCTTTAGGTTTTGTTCTCACTTAGTGGAAAAGTGTGCCGAGGGGAAGAAAACCAAAGTGGCAGAGATGCCTCGCCTTGATCTGCTGTCAGAGAATAAAGTCTAGGAAGCGCTAACTTGGCTGTGACCAGCATTATGAGATGAGGGCAAATGTAGCCCTTTGTTTCTAAACTGCTTGTGCTTTATTGAAAAAAAAAAAAAAAAAATGTGGGTCAGGGCATGGAATATCCCTGTCTTTTTCTAACTAGTGTTATGTTTGGGAGTGGAGAGGGAGAAGAATCCCCTTTGACAGTCTTTTAATTGCATATGTGTTCTTCTAAAAGAATGGACGTACATTGCTAGCATTCTAGTCATTCTCCTTCTTCTTTTTTTGCAACTAACTACAAGCACAAATTAGTTTTAATATTCTAGCCCCTCTCCTGTTGTAGATGGGGATCTGAAAAAAAAAATTCCGAAAGAAAAAGTCCCACAGTTATAAAAATAACAGAACTAGCTTTAACCTTTTATGTCTGTTTTTAAGTCACAGACACAATAGTTTATAAACCAAATTCCTTTTTTTATTATTCACCCTTTTTATTATTATTCAGAAGATACTGCAAGTCCTAGGACTAGACAAGAATTTTATTTTGTTGTTTAGTCTAAAATGGGATTTTTTTTGTTCCCTGCCTACATAGTAGACCTTCTTTAAGTCTTGAAGTTCTATCTCTTTTTTAAGCCAAGCTGAAATTTTTTGTTTTAAAATTGTTTTGTCTGCAGTTTTGTGGATAATTATCTGCATTCACTTGATCTAATGAAAAAGTTCCCTCATGCAAACACTTCCCATAAGAGTAGCTAGTTACTAGATGGCTAAGCCATCTATATTAGCATCATAGAATTTTACTGTCTATCTAAGACTTCAAGATTGGAAGCTATGTAATCTAAACACAAATAGTTAACATCTGCAGCTTTTATCCACGTGCATGGAATTGGGTTTCTTTGGAACACACTGAGCTTTGTGGACTGACGTGTGCCTTGGAATAGAGGACTATTTTTAAAGGAATTCATTTTGACTTTGCTAGGCAGTCTTGAGTTGAATACAATGCAGTTCACTTGAACAATAAACATTTATTGAGCATCCACATGTTACTGGCACAGAGCAAGTACGCGTCATGCCAAACTGAATGAACATCCCACTATCGTGTTAAACAGGACATCGTCTACAGACAGTCAAAGATTTCAGAAGAGAAGGAAACAAGAAATGTATTAATAGATTTAAAAGTAGAATAGAAGTAATTAGATCCTAATTGTACTCTTTAACACACTGGATCTCAAATTTGTTTTTTAAATATTTTAGAGCATTTTTTATTACTTCTAAGGGACTATTGTGGCCGTAGAATTCTGAAAAGTCTTAAAACTATCTCAGGCACTATGTGCAGGGCGATCCCGGACTAGACATAGTTGACAGTACTCAAGAGGTGAGATCTAGGTATCCAAAATTGATTTTCACCTTACCCTGGGCCAAAAATTGTCCTTTCACATGTTATAATGACTAAAATATAATAACTACAGTTATTCTTTTGAATCTTGTAAGCCTTTTTCTCTTTGATATCTTCCCATTGTAAGACAGGGACGATTATCCCTAATAAGTTATTCTAAATAGAGTCCTTATCCTACCAGACAGAAACACACAAACCCATCTAAAGAAATAAAGCCACCTGTTATAAGCAGTATTGCCTGGGCTGAGTATCAGTTGGTCCCCACAGTCTTTTTGACAAGTCTTCCTTTTTAAATTTCATGTTGGGAAGGGAAAAAAAAAAATCATAGGCCTAGAAAATTTAACCTGAAAATTGGAAAATATCCGTGGAAAATCTAGATGAGTTTACCCAGTAGATTGCCTGGTTGTTGCTCTAGGTTAGATAATACACATTCCTACTGTGTCTTGTCCCTCCCTTCCATCACTCTTGTCATTGAAAGTGGCAAGCCAAAGACAGTTTGCCTGAAGTCTCCTGGTGTTTCTCAGGTCTTGCTCTCCCTCCACTCCCCCCCACCCCCCGCTTCCCACCCCCATCCTCAGAAAGGCTGTAGGTAGACTTGCCATGCTGTCATGTGGCTCCAGTTTACATACTGTTCGGATAGTCAGTACCAGGAAAGGAGTGGTCTGTCTGGTTCTCTACCTGTTTCCACCTGAGAGTACAAGAGCACGTTACCAGCCTTCATTCAAGTGATGTGATCAGCACATCTTCCTGAATCTCAACACAGAAATAGCCCTGGTGTATATCTCCGTGGCATTGGGCCCTATCTAGAATGCATCTCTTTGCTCTGAGAGGAAATAAGTGCCAGGCTTGGGGATTATAAAGAAACCACCAGGAAAAGGTGGAAAATGAAGCATCTGGTCCCTGCACACACCCCTAGTTTAGAAACATGAGTTTATGACCCCAGCTTCTTGGCTTAGATATCTAATATGAGGATTGCCTCAGTGATCAAGGTTTGGGACCCATCCACTTCCAACTTCAATAAGGCTTGGGAAACTCTTAGCCTTCTCTCTCATTAGGGTCATGTGAGCTGGTCTTCCACATCATGACTTCCTTTGATAGTTTATCTGACCAGATCCTGCAGAACAGATCAGTCTTGAGAGATTGCTCATCTGAGTCCCTGGAACCTACAATTTGCTCATCAAATTTAGGTCTCCAGTCTTTCCTATTGCTCTGATAATTCTTTCCTTTTTTCTCCTCTACTAATATTATGTAATGTATCCTGAAATACCTTTATCCTTCTCCCTCCAACCTTTATTGTGAAGATGACTTTTCTGGGAGGAGAAAAAAACAATACAAAAACTTTTGAGGTAAATATTCAGTGACATAGGACATGCATCTAGTGAACATCCTGAATTTTTCTAAGAGCATTTATTTCAGACATTCTGTACAAACAGTCTGGTAGTTCACATGTATTAAGAATCACATCCTGATTTGTGATTTAGGAAATAGTATTGTAACCATATCCTTTGTTGTTGTTGTTGTTCTGTAAAGTAATAGAAGCCAGGTTTCTCGGTGGTAGAAGTTTTTTCTTTGACCAAGTCCCAAGTTCAGTATGAGTTGTCCCAGATAAACTCCAGATTTAGCACACTGACTTGATTAACTGGATTGCCTTTAGGGTTAAGGATTTTCTAATGTTAGTCATTCTCCCCCTCAAGCCCTCACCCACAGCTGGTGTCAGACTTTGCCATATCATTAGCAGGTGGAATAACATTAGCATAAAGCCAAAGTAAGACTGGGATGAACTGGTGCTTCTGGAGCAGAAACCATGCCACATTAATATTAAGCAAAGATTTATGAGTAGAGAGAAAAACACCCCTGGGCAAAACTAAACATGTGAGTACCACTTTGTGCTCAGCAGTGTGTTCAGAGCTCTCATGTATGTTTAATCGTCAGTGATAACTCCGTGAGGTTGTAAGTGGTAAACTGTTCATTTCATCAGAGTTCAAAGGGGGTGATTAGCCAAGGCCACAGTAAGTAAAAGTGCCAAGATTTAAACTCAGATCTCCAGACTTCAAGTTTGGAACTCTTTGCATAGAAGGAAGCAGCTTTATCAAGTTGAGATCTGAGATGTTGTCTCAGTAACAGTATTAACAGTCAACTTGGCACCAGTCTGATTTAATCAAGTTTGGCGCTCAGTCCCTCTGACTTAGTTGGTTCTTCATGCCATTTATTTGAAAATATTCTTAACTTCCGAACATTGGATGCAGAGTGGAAATATTTCCACCATTTAAAATGTGTGAACTGCCTTGCAAACCAATTCGGCTATTGTAGAAAACCTAGATAGTCCAACTTCTAGTTGAATCTTGCTTTCTTTCAGAAGTACAAATCTCTTCATCATCCTGAGGTTCCTTATGCCTCTTCCCTGTCTGCGTTGTTTTGTTCTTATTTCCAGAAATGGAACTAGATTCACAGTTTAGAATCTGGAAAGATGAGTGTGTTGTATTTCTCTTGGGGATTCTCATTTCTGACCTACCCCATTTGGTTCTCATAGTATCTCAGACTTAGACATTGTTTATGGCTGGCTTTGAAATCTAGTTAAATGATAGGAACAGGATCCTGGTGTGGTTTAGGATGAGGGAGTCATCATGATCTTTTTCTCTAGTGAGCTAAAGTCCCTCTCAGATCTCTGTGAAGATTCAGAAGCCAATCCAAGGAATCATATTTGGGGTTTAGATTCAATTTCAGAGGCATAGTCTCCACAACCCAGAGGAGTTCTTAGATTTCTGTATGCTACACAGAACTGCAGTATTCTTCTTTCCCTCTCCAGCTGTGGCATAGTGAAATTCATCGCAAGAACCAATATATAGATCAGAGTTATAGTAGTTTTGCTGTTATCATTCCTGAGATGACTTGAATTGTCTTAAGAGCACAAAGTGTCTCATCCAAAGTACAAAATGCCATTGGATATGGCTGCCAGATCTGCTGATTCACAGATCCTGTGAATACTGTCTGCATAGAAAGTAAAAAGTAAAAAGTGGTCTGAAGACTCCTGACCCCCACATGGACTCCGGTTATGCCTCCTGTCACTTCCATTTGTCTGAATTCCAACCTCCACCTCTGTGCCCTGCTCCGGTAGCCTCATCTTCTTCAGGTCAAATGTTAGGAATGTGCTTGGGAGCTGCACTGTCTGCCTTCTGCAGAAGATGGTTTAGAATGAGGGGGGCGCCTGGGTGGCTTAGTTGGTTAAGCGTCCGACTTTTCGCTTAGGTCATGATCTCGCGGTTTGTGGGTTTGAGCCCCGTGTCGGGCTCTGTGCTGACTGCCAGCTCAGAGCCTGGAGCCTCTTTCAGTCTGTGACTCCCTCTCTCTCTGACCCTCCCCTGCTCACACTGTCTCTCTCTCTCTCTCTCTCCTAGAAATAAATAAAACATAAAAAAATAATAACAATAAAAAAAAGTAACCCTGGTAACTTTAATGTGCACAGGGGATTGAAAACAGTTGACCTAAACCCAAGAGTTGCTGGTCCTAAGGCTTGAGGCAAAATAAAATATCTAAAATCAGACTTGATCTACAATAATGATGGGAAACAANCTTTCAGTCTGTGACTCCCTCTCTCTCTGACCCTCCCCTGCTCACACTGTCTCTCTCTCTCTCTCTCCCCTAGAAATAAATAAATAAATAAATAAATAAATAAATAAATAAATAACACATTAGAATGAGGGTTCACTGTCAGGAGCTTTGTAGATTTGGCTGCATTTTCCAAATAAGACCCATCCTTCATCAAAAGTACATTTCATGAGCAGGGTTGAGATCACAAGATATAGATAACCCCATGAAAGTTTTAGTTGACTTCTGCCAGATCCTGCTTTTCTTCTGTTTTTCTCTCTTCTTCTGAAGTAGTCAAAGTGGTAGTCCTCCTCATGGCTCAGCTTCACCCACATCAGAGGGAGGGTTAACTTTCTTTTATTATATTAACTTGCCTATATTAACTGGTGGTACTCATTTTAAAGAATCCTTTAATACCTAGTTTCTTGGGGAGCCTGGGTGACTCAGTCAGTTAAGCCTTCTACTCTTGATTTTGGCTCAGGTCATGGTCTTGCAGTCATGGGATTGAGCCCCCTGTCCTACTCTGCACTAACAGTGTGGAGCCTACTTAAGATTCTCTCTCTCCCTTCCTCTCTGTCCCTCCCCTGCTTGCCCACTTGTGCACATGCATGCTCTCTCGCTCTCTTGCTGTCTCTCAAATAAACATTTACAAATAAATAAATAAAACCTAGTCTCTAAACATAGTTGTACATTTTGATATCTGTAGGTGAATTTTATGTTCTTTATTAAAAAATGTTTCAGATTAGAAATTTATAGGACTTATAGGACTTGTCCTTTGTTTCTGTTAGTCAGCTGTGTAGTGGATGAATTAAATTGGTCCCTCTTTTTTATGCTGTTTTACCAAGCATGGCTACTTTTCTCAATAATTAGAAGCTCTGCTTAGTACTTAAATGACACTATTCTGGTGTTAGAACCCAGCATGAGTTTAGCCTGCAGCAAGTGTGCTTGTACTGAAGAGTCACTGACTGAGTAAAGGACTAAATATAAACAGCAGTTGTTTGATTATTATTTATTTTTCTTCAAGGGTGATCACAGTATTAGACCTTCTGTAGTTAAAACAGAGATTAGGGTAGAATGAGAGGTGGAAAATCTTCATACTCTTTCCCAAAACACCTGTTTAGTCACCTTGATCTCTTGTAGCTTCTCAACAAGTTGCTCTTCACTTGAGTGAGATTTCATTGGCTTAAACATCTGCCGATTTCTGTGGCCAAGAAAATGACTGTATGTAAGCGTACAAATAGAAAGGATTTTTTAATAATTAGCTTTCATAAAAGCATACGTGAGGGAGGGTTTTTGCTTCCTGTCAAAAGCACTTAACTGCCAGCAATATCAGTCATGACCTAATCTTTGGCATGTTAAGATGATTTTCCAGGAGCTAGATTCACGAAGTAATAGAATGTTCGTCCTGTGGAAGGCACCTTCTCTGATGTCCGAGGATCCCTACAATTTCTTTGGGGACCACTGAGCTGTAGAAGAGCCTGTGATTATGGTAACTCTTCTCCTTATTTGGGGCATCAAGCCTACAGGAGGTATACCTTCTCTCTAAATGAGATGCTTTTGTGAGTCCTTTCTAAGGGTGGAAGACAAGTGCCATTCAGCCCCTTGCGGACATTCTTCTCCTGGCTATTCACCAGGCTGAGGGAGTGCTTGCTTTCTTATTCCATTCCAGGGGAAGCTAGGTCTTTGGAAAATTAGTGTTTAATTTCCAGTTCCTGAGGTTGCTTATTTTATTAAGCCCCTTGACTAATAAGGGAAATCATTAACTACTGCAATTAATTATTTCTTCAGTACCTTAGTCTCTGTTACTGGATAACATTAGCCATGTGAGAAAGTCCTCAAATGATCAGAAGTTGTTGGTCTGAAGTATGAGGACTCACTGAATTCTGATATTCAGTTATGGTCTTTGCATGATTCTTCTTGCATTGTTTGAACAAATGTGATTCCTGGATCCTGCCCCACAACTGCAATCAGAGTCTACTTGGGCTCTAATTAGCATGTTCTTTGGTTGATATGATTCAGTAATTCTGATCATAATGGGATAATTGGGATAGCTTTTGGATGTTCTGTCTTTAATAGCACTATTCTTGGGCTTAGTCATTGCTAGCTTATTTTCTCACCTTCTGAAAATTCCAAAATCTTTTGTTTGCAGATCATTCTTCTTAAGAACAGCACTTAGAAAACCATCACCAGTATTGTGGAGAGAAACCTTGAAGAAGTTCAGTAGAAAGACAGCCTTTCTGTCATGGCAACACACCTCTTCTTACCAGCTCAGCAGCTTCATACTTTAGGAACTAGTAATACCTAGCTTTCCTTCTGTTCATAGAGTTCTGGTGGGGTTCTTATGCCATTCAGCCCTCCAGCCCTTATACTGCTGCAGAATTCCTCCTATATCCCAGGGGTTTGTGTCGCCTTCCTCCTCCCCAAACACTGATTCCTGTGGAAGTCTGTTGTGTGATGTTATGGTCTTTGCACACTGGCTGTGACCCAGGTCATCATCCACCTACCCTGTCTTCTCCTTTCTAAATATCATACATAGGTGTTTGTAGGTGTTTGAGGGAAGTGGATTCTTGGGTCATTCCCCAGAGGTAGGGATAAGTCTCCTGGACTTAAGTCATATTTGTAGCATGAAAGGAATGCTCATACATGGAGGAAGTGCCATCCAGTGTCAAGTAAACAATTACCTTCAGGAAATTTGGATCCAGGTAAGTAACTGCTATATGTCTCTCCTTGACATGGTGAGGATAATTTTAGAATATCAGACCTTTGGAAATGGTCTGGTTTTCAAATGCCTTCTGTATAGGTGTTTTGTAAATATACCTGAATAAAGATATATTTAGAAGAAATGTGGCAAGGAGTGCAGACCAGACCTCTGGATTCATAGCAGAGTACAGGATGGGTATGTTTTTACTGCCTTTGAGGCAGCTTAGTATTTACTGGTACATTGTAAGTGCTCAATAAATGTTCATTGTTGCTATTATAATTATTACTATTATTATTATTTAGAATTCAGTGTGAGGCTAGCATGGAGATTTCTCAGTTGGGAAAGAATACTAAAATGTATATTTTTTTAATTGTAGAGATTTATCTTAAGGTAATAAACATATTGCCTTTAATTAAAATGAGCTAATTCGTTCTGTAGCTTAATCTTAATATAACAGTGTGACTTTCATAATTGCTTTTAGTCTTAGAGGTCAGTAAATAGGGCTGTTTATAATTAACTTGTTAGGGTATCATTTGAAATGCTTTGCCCACCGAGGGCCCACTCCAGTGGACTAAACAGTTAGCAATTGGAACAGAAGGATTGCGGACAGATGATTTCTTTTATACTTTTGCTGAAGTTCCGATTATGTAAATTTTTGTATGTGTTGTGTAAGTTCTTAATTTCTTTTCATTTTACTTGTAAATATGAGGAGCTCCCCTCCTTGAATTTGTAAGACTGATGTGGACACTCTTCGTGATACTTAACATGGGTTTTCCTTTTATTAATTATACTGCATGACCCTTAAATAGTTCCTCCTTCTCCTGGGCAAACGTACCTTCTAAACATTTATACCGGATTGTATTTATTTTCTTGCAGTTGAATTGGCAATGATCATGGACCGTTTGTATGGAGGTGTCTGCTATGCTGGCATTGATACGGACCCAGAGCTGAAGTACCCCAAAGGTGCTGGCCGCGTGGCGTTCTCCAATCAGCAGAGTTACATTGCAGCCATCAGCGCTCGCTTTGTGCAGCTCCAACACAATGACATTGACAAACGGGTAAGCAACTGCTTGGGCTCTAATTGTTATGGGGAAGATATGAAGTTTGTTTTCTGGGCCCCTGGGGAGAAAAGCACCTTGTGATCAAAAGTGAGCAGCTCTACCTTACATGGTAGTAGTCCATGAGTCCCTCCCTCTGGTCTGCCTGAAAAAGAGAGTACCCATGGTATGTTAATGAACCTTCTGCCTCACCCATCCCCAGGGTGACGTTACACATATGAAAATAACCCTGCAGAATTTAGCATACCAAACCGGTGCTGGTCAAAAGATGATGCCAACAATGCATTAACAAAGGTTGTGAGCTGGTGACCTGTTTGACCCTTGCGGTGCTCTCAGATAAGTTTGGACTTACATTTAACGTTAATGTTCAGGAGTGTACATAAAATTTTGAAGTTCTGGTTTCTCTTAAAATTGCAAGGTCACACATGATAGCAATCACTGGATCGAAATAGCTGCTCTCCCTCCAGTCCCCTCTCTAACTCCCTGTAGTCCTGCCCGTACCGTATATGCATATGCATTACCTGCCCTCTTGCACCATAGTGTTACCTGCCTGGCCATTATGAGACATTCTGATTTGTTACCTCTGATGTAAAGAGGACACAAAATAGCGTTGTAGGGAGTTAGTGTGCTCAGTTGGTTTTGTGGAAAGACATAGGTAGGTTTAAATCCCTTAAGTCCCAGCTCTGCCACTCTTTGGAAGTTTGGGGAAGAGAAGGTAGGAGGAGATCATCTCATATATCTGAGACCTATTTTAGTGGATGAATAAAGCAAGTAGAGTAGATCAAGTCTTGAATACCTCCCTGTGCAATTGTACTGTGGCTGTTAATAACTTCCAGCAAAGGATATTCGTAGGGCATACATTGGACTGGAATAAATTAAAGTAGTAGTATTATGTTCTGCTGTGAAGTTCCATCTGTACTCTCCGTGGCCGACTTTTGACTAATTTTGTGTAGCAGACTTAAGTTTCTTAGAAGGTGAAAGTTTCAGTTGGTGATTCATTTTTAAATATTCGGCAACTTATATTTTTAATAAGACATTTATCTGATCAAATTAGAAAAGCCAGTGCCTAAAATAAATAGTTGCCGCATTACTGAGCTCCTTAAAAGTAAGTGTGGTGGTTTGTTTGTTTGTTTGTTTTTAATTAAAATAAATAAACTCTTTTTCCAGAATTTTGAAATTCTTCGAATTAATGGAGACTCCGAGGTGTGATAGAGGTCCAACTCCATTCCTAGCTTTCAAGCACCCATGGCATCCTGAGTTTTCCCTTTTGTAGCAGTATAATCCCCTCAGACTGTCAGCTCCCACAAAGATAGGCTTGGTGTCTGTCTCACTCTCTGCTCCATTCCCAGTGCTTACCTATTGCTTGATGTACAGCTCCAGTAGTGGGTGCTCGATAAACCTTTGCTAAATTGACAAATGGCTACACTTGGGGGATTTTCTTAACTACTGCTCCTGATGCCAGTGGACCTGCTTGTGCATGTGCTTTTGTGACACCAGATTCTGTTACACTTAGACTGCTATTGCACCTGTCACTAGTGACCCCACGTAATAAACTTAACCAGAAGAGCCTTAGATTCTCCTCTGTATCCTTTTCTCCCTTTGAAGCCAGAACTAGTGACTAGACAGGAGGTAGGTACTAGAGATGATAAAGAAGCCTTCATTTCCCAGGGCACCTGGGCGGTTCAATTGGTTAAGCATCCAATTTTGCCTCGGGTCATAATCTCACAGCTCATGAGTTCAAGCCCTGTGTCGGGCTTTGTGCTGACAGCTCAGAGCCTGGAGCCTGCTTCGGGTTCTGTGTCGCCTCTCTCTCTCCCCCTCCTCTCCTCATGCTCTCTCTCTCTTTCAAATAATAAACATTTTTTAAAAAATGAAAAGAAAAAAGAAGCTTCCATTTCCCCATGCTTTTATATTCCTTTGGCCCCCAGGCTAACAACCTCTAGCCTACTCCTTACCCAGAGGGAAGTATACTTGCCCCAGAGAACATGGCAATTTCTGAGCCCCTTCTAAAATCAGAGTAAATTCAGATACTGTTTGTTCTGTTGACCACTCCTGCTCCTTCCCCTGCTATACGGGCCTTCAGGATTTCTTCCCACAAGACTTAGAGCTAGGTTCTAAGAGAGAAGTGGCTTTGCTTTTGTGAGCACGATGATAGGCCATGCTTAGGAGAATGTATTGGAACATCAAACTTCTGAAGACTTGAGAAAACCATTGACTCTTCCCACTGCATTTGAGTTACCTGTACCTTCCATATCGAAGAGTAGTCCTTGATAAGCATCTAGAGTATCAGTCAGTTGTAGTGGAAACAGTATGGAGTTTGGATCTAGAATATATTTCAATACTTTTAATCTCTGCTGCACTAGTCAACTGATGACCCCAAGTAAGCTACTGTGTGCCAGGACCCTTGGGCCCTGATCTGTAACTCCCTCCTGGGGATGGTCTGAAGACTAAATGGGATTTGAGGACTGAACATCAGCCAGAGCTGTATGATATTTGAGATGTTTAGCAACTAGCACTTGTTAACCAACAGTTAACTGATGTCGTTAATATTACATAGCTTGAATTTAACAATTTCTCTGCTAAAGATGTATTGAAAAAACCAACTGGTTAGTAGAAAGAGCACTGACTGTGTCAATGTCTGGTCCTGTTCCCCTGGGCTATGTGACTGTGGGCAGATCACTTAAATGCTGAGCTTCAGTGTACAAGGAAAGCAGTAGTAATAGCCCTTTGAGAAGCATAGAAGAGTGAACAGAAAGCAGTATATACAATGTAACATATCATACATATGTACAGTGGGACTGCTTCTGTGGTCACAAGAATGCCACCTCCATCCACATCCTGTCTAAAAAGGACTTATCATTTCCTTCAGTGCCCTGGGATGAGAGTCATCTAAGTGAGAGAATTGCAAGTCATTAAAAGTGGCCCAATTCCTCCACTCCTCTGGCTCCCGGCTCCATCTTCATGCTCTTTGTTTGCCATTACCAATATGGGGACCATTTTCTTTATCATGAGAGATGTAAGCCAGCTTCCATGCTGGGATAGGCTCCTTTTTTACCGTTCTTCTGTGAACATTACACTCTCTTCCCCAAAATTGTTACTCTGTCATCTTGTTTTCTTCTTACTTTGAACGTAGCCAATAATACTTTTTTTTTTTTTTTTTTGACTGTGGTGTTTTGAGCCTCTGTTAACTGCACCCTTCTTAGATGCTTTTTAAAGTTCATCCCTAGTTTTATTTTTATTTATCTTTCTCCTAAAGCTTACGTTTGAGCTTTCCAGAGACCTCCCATTATATATAACTGTATCAGTATTTCCTTAGGTAATGTTCTTTTTATTTCTCTGTGGCTCCATTCTTCATTGTCTGCAGAGAGTTTCTTATTAGGCACAACCTTCTTTACTGAATAACCCCTGTGGGTTTTTAGCAATAGTTTCATAGCTAAGGTTTTGAAACTTGCTGATCTCAAAATCAGGAGCAGATATCTTCCTGTGCCCATAATCCCTTTTCTTTGCTGTTGCAAGTTCCAAAATGCTATATAGCCTTATTCTCTTTCCTTCTTATGTTAGCCTAGAGTTGCCTTTAAACCAAGACTTGACTATTTTAAATAGCATCAACCTTTATTACCTTTCTGGTCAAAGGAACTTTGTTTTCTTCATTATTAATGCAGATATAGTGCAATCAGTGAATTTAAAAAAAAACAACCTATAGATAGCATTTTTTAAAATATTTATTTTGAGAGAGAGAGAGAACAAGCAGGGGAGGGCCAGAGAGAGAGAGAGAGAGAGGGGGAGAGAGGATTCCAAACAGGCTCCATGCTGTCAGCATAGAGCCTGACACAGGGCTCCATCTCATTAACCGTGAGATCACGACCTGAGCTGAAACTGAGAGTCAGATGCTTAACCAACTGAGCCACCAAGGCACCCCTCGAGATAGCATTTTAAGGGCCACTTGCTGTTTGCAGCCACTAACCCCTTCATTCTTTGGCTCATGTGGAGAGTGGAGGAGAGCCACCTGCAGAGCAGCAGTGCCAGGAGCCTTGGAAGTTCTGGGACCGTTTGAGGGGTGTGCTCGCAGGTTGCACCTTTCCTAGGTAAACTGTGGGAGGCCCATGAAGAAGAATTTGACTGGTGTATTTCCTTTCATATCCAACCAACTTTTCGAAAAAAGACATCTCTTTTGAGAATTTAACCATTTATGTATTTATTGTTGTTGTTGCTGCTGCTGCACTTGGGCTAAGTTTTTAGATGGAGTGGTTCATGGGGAAAATACAGCCTTTATAGATTTGATTTCTTCTCACAGTCTTAGTGACCTTTTGGCTTGCTTATTATAAAATAAAATATGTCCATATGCAACATCTGTGGGATCTGTCAGTCCTGTAGCTCTGGCACTTTTCTATCCTGTCATTTCATTCACCCGTAATGCCATCATTTTTAAGGAAGAGGTGGCAGTTTACTTGTTTTGGTAGCAGCTTTACGTAGATACAATTCATAATGCCATACAAATCACCAATTTAAAGTATACAGTTAGGGGTACCTGTGTAGCTTAGCCAGTTGAGAATCTGACTTTGGCTCAGGTCACGATCTTGCAGTTCATGGGTTCAAGCCCTGCTTCAGGCTCTGTGCTGCTGATGCAGAGCCTGCTTGAGACTTTCTCTCTCTCCCACTCCCTGTCTCTGCCCTTTCCCTGCTTTCATGCTCTCTCTCGCTCTCTCTCAAAATAAATAAACTGAAAAAAAGTCTTTTAAAAAAAATTTTTTAATGTCTTTCATTTATTTCTGAAAGAGAGAAACAGCATGAACAGGGGAGGGTCAGAGAGAGAGGGAGACACAAAATCTGAAACAGGCTCCAGGCTCTGAGCTAGCTGTCAGCACAGAGCCCGACATGGGGCTTGAACCCACAAACAGTGAGATCATGACCTGAGCCGAAGTTGGATGCTTAACCAACTGAGCCACTCAGGCACCCCAAAAAAGACTTTTTAAAATAAAGTGTACAGTTAAACAATTTAT